CATTCTGTTTGCTGTCTGAACTTGGGATCTGAGTGCAGAAGGGCATCACCTTGTACTTTGCCTCAGGCAGAAAAATGTCTGCATTCCACACTTTTCTCGGTGTGGTCATGATCTCTGAGCACTAGAAATGCTGTTTGACGTAACCTTTCACTAGCAAGGTAGCAATGGTTCATTCCTGCACCTATCAGTGACAGCACATTTGGGCCAATAAAAAAAGTATGCGTTTTCTCCTATGGCTCATTCGCAGATTTCCTTGCTATACTTTTTTTTTTTTTTGGCTTGGTTTTTCTTCTTCTGTTCATTGTATTTAAATCTTCCCCTCTCCCCACCAGTACTCACAGATGAAAACGTGATCAACACTCTGCAATACAGCCCCTTTGGGTCTCACCATCACAAAACTCTACCAGCTGGTCCTTTAACGGGCTTGAACAGCATAGCCCTTTAAAAGTCCCCATTCTCCCTGGCAGCCCCAGAACCCAAGATTTACAGACTCTTGCACCTAGTATTCTTAATGTTGGCAACAGTCCTGTTGCACCACCTGTTCTCTGGAACTGTAGACACCAGCAACCCATTGTTATGGTGGCTTTTTTCAGGTGGTTCTTACACTTCCCTCCCATTTTTTCTAGGATTTGCACTCATCATACACAGTGTGGATGGGGGGGGGGTAGATTCTGTTGGCATTTAAAGGTGGATCTATCAAATCCACACTTTCCAAAACAATATGAGAAACAGAGAGAACCAAAATGGGCAAATCCTTTGATCCCAATCAAGCAATTACACACACACACACACACACATCTGAAAGCATCCCCCAAAAGAAGACATGAAAATGAGCATGGCAGTTTGTTGTAGGGCAACCAGTGTATGAGTAGTTGCTTACAAATTCCAACGAGCCAATGTGACATAGTGGTTAGCGTGTCAGACTAGGACCGGGGAGACCAGGGTTCAAATCCCTACTCAGTCATTTATCTCGCCGGGTGACCTTCAGCCACTCATACTCTGTCTCCCTTTTTCCCTCAATCTACTTTTCTGTATATGGATAAAGGATATGTTACAATTGTGATAGAAGGCTTTTGTATCTATTTTTTTCCCTTCTCTCTCTTGCTTATTTATTTCTTTTTTATTCTCTCTTACTTCAGCTCTTCCTTATCTTTTTCTTTTTCTAGATTAATTTGGCTTTTATTGTACCTTATGTTGAATTTGTTCAATAAAAAGTCTTTTTTTAAAATCAAATTTATTACCCATTCTTCACCAGCAGATACCGAGGCAGGTTACAATACTTTAGAATTAAAAATTGTCAAAATTGTGATTGCAATCACAAGAACAGAGTGTGCCCTAAAAATACACGTCTTAGGTGTCAAAGGCAGGATAAAGAGGTGCATCTGCATCATTCACTCAAAGTTGTATAGTGAAAAAGCCATGTGCTCCTCTGTAAAGAGGATATTCCACAACTTTGGGACTGCACAGAAAAAGTCCTCTCTCAGATGACTACTACCCCAAATTCTGGGATGGATGGGGGTCTGCACTAGGTATTAATCTTCCTTTGTCAACTGATTGCCAATGATGCACTTGGGGTCATGCCTAGTCCAGTCCTGAGCCAGGGCTTCCTCCTAGGGTACCATATGAGAACTTATTTGGAACTTCAGAGCACAGCTCTGGAGGATGTGAAATGATCAGAGTGACTGCGATCATGTGCAGAGGAAGGGAAAGAGGGAAGAGAGGATCGGAATCTGTTGCTGAGAATAAAATCCTCCCCTTCATGGTACCTTGAAGATCATCTAATCCAGGCACGTCCAACCAATAAACTTGGCTTGGCTCCTCTAAAAAAAGCTCAGCAATTTAGACCTGAACCCCTAAATACAGGGATTTCCTTCCTTAAAAAAAGCTCAATAACTTCGACCCAAAAATCCCCAAAAAAATCTTCCAGATTTTTCTACTCTGGGGGTAGATCACTGCCAGTCTTTAACTTTGTGAGTAGATCACAGGAAAGTAGATGCAGGAAATGTGCTGCTGCACCAACATGTCTGTTAGGAGATAACCCTACATCTGCTTAAATATCTCTAATGAAGGAGAGTACCTGTTACTGGTACCATCAGGTCTCAGGACAGTTTCCTTCCTATGGAGAATGGCTGGGTTTTGATGATGATGACAATGATAATTGTTGTTGCTGTTGGCATCTACCTGTCTCAAGAGACAATGGAGTGCACCTCCAGGGTGAAGTCACCAAAGCAGCACCAAAGTGACCTCCGGGGGCCAGGCCTGGGCAGTGTGCATGGAGGTCCTGGGCTACCCAGTTGACAATGGATTATATATTCGCTAAAGGGTTGCATTTCCACTATTTGAACATTAGTTTATTCACTAAAAGAGTGAAGGCTTTTCTTCAGTGCCTCCTGACTCAAGCCACAGCAAGAATGTTTAGCCTTCCCCATGATCTTCCTTGGAAATGGTTCACATTTGATGAAGGAATCATCCATTTGGTACTAGGAGGTGTAATAAAAAGTGCAAAACTGCTTGAAAAGAGTGTCCCAGCCATAATTCTTTTGGCACTGAGGAGAAATCTGAAAGATTGGACTTCCAGCAAAACCAGAGCCAAAGCCAAATATTTGAACACTGGCACACACAAAAAGGCCTGCCATCATGTCAAATTTTGAAACACCCATAAAAATTACTTAAAAGTCACAGCTAATCTCAAGATAGTATTTTTTTCCAGCCCTTAAAAAAAACACCTGACTCATCAATATTAAGGGAGTATATTTTTGGCTGCTCTTCTTAGCTTTCTTCAACATAGTTAATATTTACTGAGTCTCCAGGGCTCAAAATTACCTCAGTTTTTTTGCTTCAGGTCTACAGCTGCACTTTCTTGCTGTCACCATAGCAATGTCTGGAATGTAAGCATTGTGTTTCCCTTTCTGCTAAGAAAATAAGTAAAACTAAAGTAGCCAGCTCCACCAGGAGATGGGCTGCGGGGAATGCCTTTCTGCACTATTGCAATAAAGAGTCTAGCTTTGCATTAACATGGCTATGTTGTGAGAGAGATAAATCTACAAGTGAGAGGCACGTAAGTCACCTACGATGCCCAATCTAGCCCAAATGCCATTGAGCTTTGCATATCCAGCTCTGTTTATCAAAGTTATCCTAATTAAGCAATGTTTGCCAGAACTGTATAGGAAACCGCAGAAGCCAAACCTTTGAAAAATGGCTGGAGGCCTTAGGCATAGGAGTGCAAATCAATAAACCTCCCAAGGATTCAAATTTCTGAAGGTGTGTGGTCAAATGAGCCAAAAATCTATTTATATATATGCCCCTTTTTCCAAAGGGAAAAAAAATCTGGGGAGAAAGGGGGATGAGAACGGCTGCAGCTATACCTCTAGTTTGGATCCTGGTGGGATATGCGCTAGTTGTTTGCCAGTCAAAGGCTTAACGCAGCCAAACTGTTTCCTTTGCCTTTTGATATAACTTTACTGGATATATGTTGGGCAAAGACCAACTTTACAAATCTTCGTCAGCTAGCCTAAAACAGAGAAACCTGCTTCCTACATTAATTTCAGTACATATTTGGACAGCAAACTGTAATCTGAGAAACCCTTAGTCAGATAGCGCAATCTGAACACATGTTCACAAAGGATCCAAGATAAGGATCTGGCAAATGAAATATGAAAGCAAACATCACTTATCAAAAAAAACAGAGGGGATGAGAAGAAGCAAAAGAGAAGAAAATATCAAAAAGAGAGGAAATCTTATCACTGAATTTCCTGATATTTACTCCATTCTACTTCCTGATAATATTGTATCTCTCCTGAGAGCTACATTTCTTTATTTGTGTAGTTCCAAGTTTTCAAAAAAGTAAGGCATATAGACCTGTTTCACACAAAATGGTAGCTGAACTATGAATTATTGTGACCACGTGAATATGTGAGGTCCCCAAGAGGAGCTCACAAACACTTTGATCCTCCCCAGCCCTTTTTTACTGCCACACATTGCTGAGCTCTCTCCTAACTAACCACAAGTTGTAGCCAAGAAGAAACCTATACAGGTCATGGTTAGTGAGGAAAGAGATTCACCACAGGTCCTGGTCTGAGCAACCCTAAGCCAAACCTTGATGTAGCTCAAAGTGGCATAATGACTGCAAGCTCCTCTCTGAGAGTTCACATGTTTGAGTGGTCATGATAACCCATATTTGCACTTACCATGTCATGTGAACCTGGTCATAGAGCGGCTATGGTTCAGAGTGTGGGATGTAGTTCACTGGGAGCAGTCAAGTACAACACTCCTTGTAATGCTAGAGTGGACATGCGGGGGAATGTTTGGTCCAGCCAGTCAAAACTTCTTGTTCCTCCCAGCTGGAGCATCCTTCCTTTGCATGTGACTGAAGGTTGGCATGACCTTACCTGTCCAGGTAACAAAAGGACGAGTCACGCAGCACACCTCTCTCTTTTTCACTTCCTTCTATGTTTGACCAGCTTTCAGCTAAGACTGCTCTGCTAGCTCTCAGCTAGCAGAAGCACTGGGATTACCCCCCTCCATGGGGTAGATCCACATGTACATATTTGTAACTAAGTCTGCCTTCAGGGATCCAACTGTGAACTGATGTAAGTAAACTTATTTTATTGACTTTGAATAAGATTGTGGTGTCTTTATTCTTTTAAGAGGGATTCAATGGAACTTACCAGGAACGTACAATTCAATCTAAGATAGATTGAGTTGTATAATTGTGAGAGGCTTACACAAGCCTGCAACCAGCTATCTGTATGTATGTGCATGTAAAAGGGGAATGTAAACTCTGCTAAGTAAAGGAACTTGCTAGCGCAATTTAGGAAGGATATTAATAATCAATACATCCTCTCCTGCCACCCTTAACATTCCCACACAGAGGGCTGCTGCTACCAAGATGCAGCCTGCTTGATACAATCATTGGCGCACCCTGGTGGAGAAGAGTACTACGTACTGTCTATGATGATGCAGCATGTCTCCCGGGTTTCAGATGCACTCCCAGCCCAACCTGGAGATGCTGGGGATTGAACCTAGGGCATTCTGAATGCAAAGCGCATGCTCTTCCACCGAGCTATGGTCCACCCCAAGGGTGATAGTAACCAACATCCCTTTCTCCTCCTGAGGTCTTAGACAATCGGTTGGGCAATCAGTCAAGAAGGAGAGTCCCACAGGGGTGTGCATCACCCCAACTCTGCACAAAGATGAGCAAGGTATAGGGAAGTATGTCATGTGGTATTACAACAGCATTTCCTCTCATGCCCATTGCCTCAGATCTGATGGAGATGCCCTTCTCTGCCAGTTGCCTATGCGCAAGTGCAGTTGGTGGTGACCAGAGAGAGATGGTTCAACTGCCCACCCCTTGCATTATTTTGCTCTGGCTAGCAAAGGCCTGCATAATCCAGCAGGCTTTTGCCTTACCAAGTAGACAATGTTTTGATTTGAGAATATTTTTTTTATGCCATACCCAACTCTATTGTACTTTACTGGTATAGTGTCCATTACAAGCCTGTAATTTTGATTGATGTCACCTGCCTTGAGTGACACAGGCAGCAGAAATGCGGAGGTTTAAATAGCCATTTAGGAATAAAGTAAAGGAACACAACTGGAAAATTGTGGGCTTCTTCAGAAATTATCCTGATTGCATTTTTCATTCCTCAGCATTATGAAACTTAGATTGGAGATCCCCTGTTTTGGAAAGGGTGTTCCCCCACGCTTGCTACCATTTACAGCACATACTGAGGCCCTATTTGGGTTTCCTAAATTCCAACTATGAGCTCATTTCCTCAGATTCATTTGTATTAAGACAGATTTACAGTCTCTTCTAATGAATATATCTATTTAATGTGTGTGCATCTCTCCATATTGTTTGTTCCAGTTTATGCAAGCCAAAAAGCATGAGCAAGAAATAACCATCCTTGTCTTGTGATATCCTGAAACAGCTTAGATGTTGCTACTGCTGTAAATCTACTTTATGAGCTGTGCCATTGAAAATTGCCTCTTTGGCTGAGGGCTATGAATAGCCACACTTTATGTTCTAGTTGGAAGACTGTGTCTTTGCTGTGGTCTTCCTCCATTCGTGAGCCAGCATCGTTTTTGCCAGCATCCTTTAGAAAACCATTTTTATCTCCACATATATAATGACATAATTGTCGTGGCAAACAAGCTAGTCTGAAACACCTTTAAGACCCCTGCAGTACAAGGCATGAAATTTATAGGGCCAGAATGAGCTCACATAAACACATTTACCAGATGAACTGTCTGACAGGCTGATGGTGCTGCCTTGGACAATTGTCAAGAGACTCTTTAAAGTCTTTTTTTTTTTTTAATCATGTCCCAAAGTGTATCACGTCTCGCAAATAATGAGACCACAGCAATCCCCACAGAGTCGTTGAGACAAGCAGATAATAGAAGTGGAAAGCATTGGTAAAGCTTCGCTGTAAGTTAGAAGTTTTTTGATTTGGCACCAGTTCTACAAGTGATATAATGAAGTCTGTACTTACATGATACATGATCTAAAAGGAAAGTCCAGAAGTTAAGTGTGTGTGTCTTGCAGTGGTTAGGTTTTAATTCCCAGGACTTTCGGGAGAGGAAGAGTGAGCACCCTCCCTCTTGAAATATGAAACTTATCATCATGCATATCCATCATTTGGAGGGTGATAATCTTTTTTCAAATGACAGAAATTAGGAGGAGGAGGAGTGATGGTCAGCCTCTGGTATTTGCTGTAGCTGCCAAAGTTGTAAAAATAAATAAAAAATCTTAAAGAGATAGTTCTGATGGGCCGGTTAATTTAATTCAGTGTTTCCCAAACTTAGGTCTCCAGCTGTTTTTGAACTACAATTCCCCTCATCCCCGACCACTGGTCCTGCTAGCTAGGGATGATGGGAGTTGTAATCCCAAAACAGCTGCAGACCCAAGTTTGGAAAACACTCATTTAAATAAGAATTGGTTTTTTTGTCAGGCATGAGGAAACTTGTGGCTCTCCAGAGGTTACTGGACTACAACTCCCATCATCCCTGACCATTGACCATGCTGATTGGAGCGGATGGGAGATGGAGCCCACAACTTCTGGAGGGCCACAATTTCCCCAACCCTTTTTTAAGTTGTCATGAATGAACTAAATTCAAATTCTGTGTTGTTGTAAACAAAACGCATGAACTTTTCACCAATGTTTTTTTTTTTAATTTCTTTGTTTTATCAGGAAGGCGTCTGCTACAAACTTCCTCAGTGAAGATGGGAGCAAGGTAATATGACCAAGACTGGGGAGCTATATCCTTGGTCACTCCCTGTATAGATCAAGTGTGAATTCAGAGATGAAAATGGTTCAGAAACTTCAGCTGGTGCAGAATTCAGTGGCCAGGTTGCTCACGGGAGCATAGTACACCAATCCTGACTTGACAGCACTGGCTTTGACCTATAAAGCCCTAAATGGCTCAGATCACATTACCTCAAGGACTGCCTCTCCCCATATGAACCGACCCAGACTCTGCAATCATCATCTGAGACCCTTATTCGTATGCTCCCTCCATAAGAGATTTAGAGGGTGGCAACACAATGATGGGCATTTTTTTGTGGTGGCTCCCCATTTGTGGAATGCTCTCCCCAGGGAGGCTTACCAGGTGCCTTCATTACATATCTTTAGGTGCCAGGAGAAAATGTTTCTCTATAACCAAGTCTTTGGGTGATTAAACATTTCATGGCCTTTTAAATGTGCTTGTGGGTTTGTTTCTGTTTTATTATGTATGTTGTGTTCTCATTTTATATCTTTAGGTTGTGTGCCATCCTGTGATCTTCAGATGAAAGGCAATACAAGAAGAAGGCTGTATGAGTAGTAGCGTACACCATGAATCAAGGACTCTTAGTGTTGGAGTTCCTTAGGCAACTTATTTCCAGTTCTGGGTAAAAAATTAAGCTGAGGAACTTTGGGAATGAAACTGTACAGTCATATCTCATGTTACGTTTGCTTCAGGTTGAGCGTATTCAGGTTGCATCCCGCAAGTATCGGAAAGGGTTACTTCTGGGTTTCACTGCTCGCGCATGCGCAGATGCGCAAAATGACATCACGCACATGCGCAGAAGCAGCGAATTGCGACCTGCGCATGCACAGACGCGCAGACGCGGGTTGCGTTCTGCTCATGTTGCGAATGGGCCTCCAGAACGGATCCTGTTCGCAACCAGAGGTACCACTGTACTTTATTTAACAAGCGACCAATGAGGGATAAGGCATAATGGTAACAGCTCAATACTTAGGGTTAGTCATAAATGCTGTTAATAGGCTTAAATGAGAACTTCCACAGAACTATTTCAGTATAGCTAATTCTCGGTCTTAACCAGAATTCAAAAACTAGCTAGGAAACTGCGTAAGAAAATAGTCAGATACATTTCCTTCTCCCCAACCATTCTTATTGAGTTGCCAGCAAACTCCAATTGGATTTTTAGGCCAGATTTAGGAGACCCAGGCTTTGTAAACCACTTTAAGCCCAGCAATAATTAATCTGATCTGCCTGAAATAATTCTGGATCTCCTACCCCTGGACCTTTGAACCCTCTGAATTTGTTGAAGCTCTTCTGGAATGCACTAGCCTTTCCAGATATGCCACACAAAATTAATCAAGGGGTAGGGAGGCTCCAATCTACACCAGAGGAAAGCGCCTGCCCATTGATGTCTTCAGGAGCATGCTTTTGGGGCCCATTTTAGATCTCTAGTGCCTAAGCATGATGGAAGGTCCAGGTTCTCTGGACCACCTGAGTTCTCCAGCAACCCTAAATAATCATCCATCGGGCTCATTCACAAATAGGTGAAGCCACTCAGGTGCCACAGAAGTGAAATGAGCATCCCAGTGTTTTGGTCCAAAAAGGTTGACTGAAGTGTTATCCACTGAATTTTATCTCCTGCTTATATCTGAATATTTCCTGTGTTGTAACATATCTGGATTTCTCTATATGACAATACCACTGAATCTTAGATGTCCATAGAAATTCAATTTAGGACCTGAGTTTTTGCAGCAGTGGGTGGGGAGGAGGTCAGGGATGACTTCCTCTCTGCCAAAAAGTCTTCTGCCCCACAAAAGAACCTTATTGCAATAAATAATAAACATACAGTACTCCTTCCTTAACTAGATTCCAAGAATTTTATATGCTGTAACTTAATCCTGAGAGAACTAGAGGATATTAAATGAACTAAACTGTCTTAGCCAGCAATCTCTGATTTGGACTGCCCCTTTGATGTTTTCATGTGAAATTCTTTGATGTCTCAACATTGTTTCAGAAATTAGGGGAGAGGGATCCAGATTTGTAAATCATTTTGGGATTACCTACGATGGGACGACAATATGATGATGAATGGCACAGAGTTTTGAAAGAAATTTATATTTTTTCTGAATATTAAATTAATCACAAACCGAAGATTGTCTAGCATTAGTTTCTGGTGACTTCAGAGATCTTTTGGCATTCCAGATGCACAATGAGTAAAAAATATTTTGACTTTATTAGGAGCACCTTTCCACATCTGCAACCCTGTTATACAATAAAGTCTTGTTCTTTTGTTGCAAGATTGCAATGGTTCATATATATATATATATATATATATATATATATATATATATATATATATAAAATTTAAAACATGTGGCCAAAGGGTAATCCAGTAAACCATAGGCATTTTATATCGGAGCTTTCATCCAATCACATATAACGTCAACCATCTGGGTGTATGGCTAGATACGGAATTTTTGTATTGATAGATTGCAAATGATAGCGAGATGAAGAGAAAGTGGTCCTCGGGTCTAAATATATTTTATTCTCTTATACCAACTCACCATTATGTCATTATCATTCATTTTGAGACAATGACCTCTTTATACAATGAGTGTCCTGTTTTGTACCAAGACTGGAGTAAAGACCCAACAGAAGGATGACAACCACATCTTTGCACTCTCCCTTTTTACATACACAAACACACATATGGATGATTCTTATCTAACTTTTGGTTGCTTTGCATCATACTGGCAAGCTAAAGGGAATGAAATAGAGTCTCGTGTTTGATTTTTTTTTGTTACATAATGTAAAACAAGAAAAGAATTA